ACTATACTATACTGGATAACCTATCATTATATTTTCAAATTGCTGGAAACTCAGGAGTAAACTATACTGAACGTTTAAGTACAGACCTTTCGAGAGAGAAATCCCAGCTTAGATGCTAGGTAGTTTCTGCTCAGAGCCCCAGTGACACTAGAGGTCAGCATGGGCGCATCTACATCAACGCTTTAGTCTGGGCCAGGAATGCGCTTTGTAAGTGCTGCCTCCTGTGCTGCAGCCCACAGGCCTGAGCAGACCTCCCAGTTTGTAAATTGGATTCTTTCATGGAAAAACGAGCTCTAGAACAACTGCTAATGGTCGTTCAAGCCACATGCCCGGATTAGATCTGGTCTGAAATAAACTCCCAGGACTCGTATGGCAACGACAGCTTCCAATAAGGTGTATCCCAAGATACACCTTATACTAGAAAAATACCTGGAGGATGCTACAGAATGAAAAATCACCCCAAAGACTAATATTAAAGATGAGCATGGAACTCAAGGAAAGCTGCACTGAGGAGGCCCGGAGTTGAAAGACAGCAAGAATTACTAAAAGACATGCTGAGTCTGCCTTCATTTCAGTATCATTTGTACAATCTCAGAATTCTTCAGGCACATCAGTAGGGAGGAAGGATTAATAAACAGTAAAGACAGAATGTAATTAAAGAGAACTTCCAGCTTGAAAATGAAATTAATATTTCATGTCCGTTAGGAGCAATCAGATAATCTATATCTCTGAATTCTGAAGGACTTGGATTATAAAATCACAAGTCTAATAGAAAGCATTTTAATAGTAAATCTCTCAAGTTAGAGTAATATCCTATGATGGAAGAACAGCAGATGGAAATATCTAAACTTAAGTAAGAGGAAGAAAATTCTACCTTCCATTGGTGGGACAGCTGATTTTATGGAAGAGAGATTCTTCTGTGCTTCATTTCCCATTGGAAGGTATTAGGTAGGAATTCTTACTATTTTAAGAAGGATAATACATTTTAAGGGGAGAATAAACTGGTAAAATGAAAAGCCTTGCTTTTTTTTTATAGGTAGAAAAATTAAACAAACCTGTTATATTGTGTATTTTCAGTGGATGCGGCCACCAGAGATCCAAGATGACCGGTGATTCTCTGCCACCAACAACATTTAGCTAATAAATCCTGTTAAGATTTCTATTAACCCAAGGGAGGGCCTCACATTTGCACAGATTGGAGTTAACTTGGATTTTATATGGATCAAGCTTCTCCTGCACAGAACTTTCTTCAATCCACCCAGAACATTTTAGCAAAAAACCCAGTATATCTTCACGTATTTAGGAATACAAAGACATTTAAGAATGGAATGCGTTCATCACTGAATAACAGAGGAAACCTGTCAATGCAGAAAGAAGAAATACGTAGCATTTGTATTGTGTGTTTGTAAAGGGAAAAAGCAAGATGATGTATCCGTCTCATCTGAAGGAATACTCTCACTCTAAGAATAATTCTGGAGAACGTTAAAAACTGGCTACTAAGGCAACACTTTTTAAAATGAAATGGTACAAAGGTTTTGTGTCTAAGAGTTTTTTAAAAGCAAGCAAAAGAACTCGGCAGACCACTGATAATGGTTTTCTATGTCATTACTCCTTTTTCATTAGACCTCAAAATGTCAAGGAAACTTAAGGCTGAAAGGCAGCAGGTCCTGTGCCATTGCTATTAAAGGGCAAATGAGACAACCTGGGTAATTAGAAGCCTATAAGCCTGGCATCAATCCTAGCAAAATAATGGAATAATTCCTACAAGTCTCAATTAATGAAGGATTAAAGAAGGGATATAGAATTAATGCCAGTCAACAGGTTTGGGTTGTTTTGGTTTTGGTTTTTTTTTTTGGAAAACAGAACTTGCCAAGCTACATGATATCTTTGAAGAGATCACAGGAACCAGGTGCTGTTCTGGACTGCCTACTTCCCCAGAACAGTCTGGATGGCAATGAAGTTCCCTGAAAATTGAACTTGTCTTAGAAGTGAGATTATACATCAGCATGACATGAAACACCTGCCCGCCAGTTTTACTGGGCATGTAGTGTTTAATTGTGGTTTGTTTTTTCCAAGAACTATTTCTCTTTCTTTCATTCATGGCATGCAAATGACAAGCCACTATTAAACATAATTATTCAAACTTAATAGCAAAGGGAAGCTGTTTGAAGAAATGTTCCTAAATCTCATTTATAGGAAAGAACTGTTACTGTGGTGCTCGTCTAAAAAGGCTGAGTTTGAGATTCATTTCCTACACATTATGATCTATTTTCTAAATCATTACCATAAGAAGTTCTGCTGCTTTGCAAAGTCCATGATGCAAATTCTTGCAACTCGCACAAGTTTGCGATGTTTCTCAGCTGATGTTCTTTCAGCGATCCCAGCAGACCTAATTTAATTTCTACTCATTTCACCATGCTTAACACATTTTTCTAAATTACTTTTGCATTTGTACTCAAAGGGAGTACTGGCTGATTTTTGCTTATAAAGCTCTCCTCTTTCATTTCCATTGTTTCCTATGCAGAGGGAATGAAACTAACTGCATAGAGCAATTCAGTGATCAGCTGCTTTCAGTCCATACCGTATTTCAATAATAATATGGCACATACTGTGAATTTCATATATTTTGTACTCATAGCTCCAACTCTATCGCATTACACAGAGAAACACTGTACCTCATTTCTGCCTTCTGGGTGCAGGACATTTTCCAAGACAGCCCAGCAAAATATGTGAGTGCACAAGTTCAAAGATATAGAAAATGTGCCCATTTTGTGCTTATTTAATTATATTCTCATCTTTTTTTTGAGTAGAAGAATGGTGTATTTAAAGCCTTTAGCTACATTGACATTATTATTCTCACTATACGATAAGCAAATAGGAGAACAATCAGAAAGACAATAGTATGCAACAGGTATAAATTAGAGTAAATGCTCTGGTGTTTTGGCAGACATATGGCGTAAGTTTTCATAATTTCACATCAGAAAATTTGTAAGATGTTTCTGTTGATATTCTTTTAACACTTCCAGTTTGGGTAATCCTTTTGCTGTTCTCGTGACAATTTTTTTCTTAATTTCCTTTTTCCTTTGAATGATCAAAGAAATTTTTGCTCGAAAACAATCTTGTCATATATTAAAGCAATCATGTCATATACTGAATTTACTTCCTACAGTATTTCTTCAAAAGATCTTTAAGGATTTGTGACAAACAGGTTTGGTTACCTTCTCTTCAAAACCACTGTATATATCTAAAGAAGTTGCAAAAACTCCTTTCATATTTTAGAACTTCATTTAATGCCCCTGCCCAGAATTTTTGACAGTTTTGGAGAGAAATGCACAGCTCAAATTTAATGCAGAGTTGCCATGCTAAACTGAAGAAAGGTCTCAGTGATGACTTATACAGAGCACATCCTTCTGAAGTCTTTCAATCAAGTGACCACAAGGTTTCATGGAAGAATCTTCAGAAGAGTTCACACGTGGCTCTTTGCCAGCTCATGTTCCACACTGCCTGAATTTATTCGTCTTCCATAATGTTTCCAACAAATGAAATCACACTAGAATTGCAACTTGTTATTCTCTTTTTACATCTAGTATTCGAGAACTATACTGCTCCTAGATTTCCCAGTTCCAACCTCAATCTTCCTCTTGTTTAATATCCCTCCATCTTCACATTCTGATTTGTTCTTAAGCCCTTTGAAGATCTACACAACTATTCTCTCTCTATTCTCAGAGCATAAATTCATTCTCTCCAAATATTAGATCTGGTTTTGCCTCTTTCTCTTTTCCTCTCTCAAAATGGAAATAGAAAAGGAAGCATAACCTTTATACACAGCGTTTAGTTATCTAAAGCAGTGTCCCTGATGCCTCATTCCCTCTTTTTTTTTTTAAAGTTTTCATATTACAAAAGCTAACTTTTTGCCTCCTCTTCTGCTTGTCCCTTAAACTCTAAGCTATTACCACAGCTTCCATTATAACTTATGAAATTAAAATAATTATCAAATCTTTATTACTCTGGAGTTATTAACTTGTCCAGTGCATTCTATTCCATTCTATCATGTTTATACAGTGAGTATGTATAAAAAAAGAAAAGTATACCTGTGCAGTTTATAATGACACACATAAAAGAATAATGTTTGTGAATGAATGATATGATGCATAAATTTTAGTGTATTGTCTGTGCAATGCCAAAAGTTCTTAATCAATACATCAGAGATCCAAACCACATGAATAATTAATTTAAAACTGCATACACTCCTAGAGAACAATAATTAGATTCTCAGAGCTCATTTATAATGAGCTTTTAATTAGAGAGGATGTCCTCATATATTAATTCTTAAAAGCAGAGAAATTATGAGATAGTAGGTAATTCTTAAAATAATATGCTTCAGCGTACATTTCTTTTCCTTTTATTATACCAGAACTGTAAAGACTCCTTGCTTAAAGTCCCTTGTGTTTTACTTACTTACAGCAGCATAAGTCTATGATAAAGAGGGATCCTATTTCCTTTGTCATCAGTAAGGATGTATATGGGACATTGCATTAACGGATGCCTCCACTAAAATTTGGTAAAAGGTCAGAGGGAACTTTATTGCCAGGAACAAGGGCTAAATGCATTGTATGACTACCTGAGATTGGAAGATATTCTTGACCAGATTTTGTTCCATTATTTGTCTCATTAGCCATTTTCCCACACTGTAAGAAAAACTGCAGCATAATGCTTTACAAAATGTCTGCATACAGTTCTGCGTAAAAGCTGTCGCAGAACTTGACAGCACAGTCCCTCATGAGAAAGACCGTTTGCTCGGACAGCATCCAGTAAAATCTGATCAATAAACCCATCTTTATTCTTTTAATTCAGCAGCTCAGCTTTATTTAATTCTGCAGTTCCTAGTATTGCACAAATGCACTGCTGTATAACACATTACCGTCTAGGCTGCCTCCCTCCTTGGACAGACACATCACATTTGTCATCGTTAGGATTCAACAGGAACTTGATCCGATTACCTGGTTTGCTTTCATTTGGTTTACACTGAACTTCTTCAACGCATTCTGCAGGAAACCATCCAATATGTCCCCGGGTGCTGCCTTCCCAGAATCCACCTTCACCAATGCTTAAAACTAAATACAGAGAGACATAGGAAGCGTTAGGCTTTTTTTTTTCTCTTCTCATGTAAATACCAAGATTAGTTACATAACATGCTCAGTAATAATTGAATCATGGTCAGTAATAATTGAATAGCACGTTGGGAAAAGCAAACATCGTACAATAACTCAAACGCTGGTACCCCAAAAATGGGCACAGAGTGACCTTTAAATGTGACCCTCCCTGATCAGTCTTTGGAACCTCTTCCCAAATTTATTTTTGTCACAAGTTTCCTTGGCCCTCACATAATTCTTCCAGTTTTCAGTTTTCTCATTGCTGCTTTTATGAAGCATAAATGCATGGTCATACTAAGACCAAAAAAATTTGTCTTGCCTGTTCAAATTAAGCTGAAGTGCTGAACCCATTGTAAAACCGAACCCACACTGAAATTGGGTTTTAATAATACATATTTTGATATCTCATATCTTTTCTACTTCCTAAGGAAACATGCTATTTTATTTAGTGGGTATCTCCAGAGATTTGTAATGTAGGTCGAGTAATATGATTTAACGGTTTGAGTACACAGCAAACACTTGAATATCCCGTAGGTGCGATACACAACGTAGATGCCTTTTGAAACATTTCAATGATTTTTCTTGGTAGAAGATAATGACAATAGGGATGAGAATGATTTACCAATAGGAGAAAAAGCTTTATCCTGTAGTTCTAATTATCTTGATATTAATCTTGGGACTCAACAAGGATTGTGCCAAAAGACTGCAGAACAAGAATGTATGTTTTTACCAGTAAGCAACTGGAGATGAATTACAGTAATGAAAGGATCCTAAATACTTACTAAGTATTATGTTTAAATTAATTTTACAGAAGTTCCTACAAATCACTGTATGTTTACTATATATTAAAAGAACATAAACACACTATTAAAAACATACTATGCATTAATATTGGAACAAAGGCGGTATTATAGATTAACAAAACCACCGTTAGCTCTTCTAAATAGGTTGATTGGGAATGTAGCTCAGTCGTAAAACACAGGTCCTCAGAGTACAGCTGTACAAAACACAATGTTCAGTGAAGAGGTCCCTGAGCTACCAAAAATAAGCCCGTGGAAGTCGAAGCAGCACAGCTCCATTAGGTGTGTGCTAGCTAAGCCAGCCAAGCTAACTGGCCCTGCTGAAAATCAAGGTTAATTAGCCCAAGCACGTCTCCTTGCTAACGTATGCATACGGTTTTCAAGACCTGGGATATCATCTCTGCAGGGCATTTCAGTATGGAAGGGATATTAAAGCTACTTTGATGATCTCCAACATAAGCGCTCCTTGTGCTGTTAAAACATACCTTATCAGGCTTTAAAATCATAGTCCCTGAGCCCGACTGCAATTGAATTCTGGATCAGTGGAACTGCTGTGACTCAATGGCATTGAATTTGAACTTGATTTGCACTACTATAGAGTAAAATGAAAATCAAATCAATGATAGGCCAAAAAAAAAAAACAACACCTTGGTAATTCTAAAGGTAATTCCTTGGTAAGAAGTCTGGTTTGACACACCAGGATCTGTAAAACTGCATTTGAAATTAAATGTTTACCTAGTTTTTCATAAATGCAATCCTAAGCTATTTGCGGCATTACTTATGGAGCATAAAATCTATTAACATAGATATTTGACAGAAAAATGTTTTTAAACGTGTCAATGTTAAGTCCTTTAATGTAGTAAATTGAGATAGAGATTCCCTGAACTACATATTTACACATCACTGTCACTAAGAAGTACATATTAAGCTCCAGAAAATAGACCCATTAGGGCAAAATCCTACACCTGGATGGGTCCCAAGTGCACCATTTATCAAGCACCTTTCTGATATATATGAGGAAATCTATACCTGCCCAGGTAGTTATGGCGTAATGGGGGCGGGCACTGACCTTGGAAGACACCAACAACTCTACAGCAACACTTAAGCTGAATAAAAAATTTTAGCATGCCTTTTCTTTCGGTTACCTAACGCCTATTGACATTGTTAACATCAGCAGAAAATATTTCATCTCTATGTTAAAACACAAGCAAAAATGAAGAAACCAGATCCGTGCTTTGATTGTATTAATAATAATGCATAAATCAAAATATTAATAAATACAAATTTGGGGCAAAATTAATGAAAAACATGTTGACAAATTCAAGTTGTTCTTGAGAATGTTTAAAGCCTGTGCACATTAACACATGAAGCCAATTTGATAATTCAATGTACCATAAAACATATTCATTCATCCAATATATATTGGGTATTCATCAGCTTCCGACTCATTTTTAACAATGTAACCCCTGTTCACATAAGAATAGAATCCATATTCTTATATATGAGATAAGGAAGTAGGAAAACTTAATAACATATGTAGCTATTATAATTATTGTAGGATCCTCCAGTACATTGATTTAACTTCAAATTATAAAAGTGAGTGTAGGACTCCAGCCAAAAGAAATTTTAAAATGTGATACAGCAAAAGATTCCTATTGCAAGGTTTTTTTGAGGAGAATTTTCAGCACTGAATCTCAGGCCCGACTTCACTCCGCAAACTGGCAAGAAAGGGAGAACAAAACTACTTAGAGATTGAGAAAGACTTCCCTAATTCGGTATTTTATTAATCTCTGAGATCTGCTATTTTTGACACTCCAAACTAGATGGATATTTCCATCTCCAAAAAGCATTTGCACTGTAAGAAGGAATTTGGGTATTTCACACCCACAGAGCAATGCCATGGGTTTCTGGTAGCAGCAGCTGCTAGACATCCAAATCAAGATGGGAAGAGAAATTTGCTTCGTAAGTCTATCTGTGAGTGCAAAACCAGTCCCACTTTAGATCATTATTACATGAGTTATTAGATATTAGCAATTACTAATAGCAAGAGTAAAGCAAAACTACATGTAGTCCTGCCTGAAGACATAACGTCTACAGAAAAAAGGTGGAAGGGGGAAATGAGGCATTGCCAGAAGGCAGCCAGCTTCACAATTCTGGTTCAATGACGTTACCTTTGGACTTAACATCAAGGAAAAACATCGTTATGGGTGCCAAGAAAGGAAGGGAAAGCCTGATGGAACTGCAAGGGACACAAACGAGGGGTAGCCAGGGATACAGCTGACGTTCAGAGACAGAGACAAATTGTTGGTGAGATGGAGGACAAGCACACATGGCCTAATACTCACAATGTAGAAGTCAAGATCTAGATGATTCTGTGCTACGAAAAAAATTGAAATAATCTTTTTAATGTATCTCAGGTGGTGCCATTAATAAGACATTCTGCAGCAGAAGCTGAAGCGTAATAATCTGCGTACCTATAAAAACTGGCAACACTTTGTTTTTTCCAGTGTGGGTAACTGGGAACTTCAAGGATAAATCAAAAAACATAATTTATCTTTTGTACCCATTAATACTTTTTTTAGAATGAGGCCTTAATTTCTGCCTTTTCCCTCTCACAATAGTGCTTAAGAGACACGTTGTAATAGATAATTTGGTACCAGCAAGAGATTTTCTAATCAACGTTTTCCCTTCTGAAGGACATAACAATGGTAAATCAAAGGATAACTTTCCCAAAATTAATAATTAAGCTTTATAATTTCAATTTTTTTTTCCCTCTTGCTTTTAGTAAAAACAAAAGATGTGGTTGCTATGGCAAAAGCAGGCCAGAGTCTCTTTACACACAACATGAATTACCAAAAGAATCTGATGTTATAAGAGTAAAATTAAGGTTCTAGTAACATCATGAATCCTGATATGACTTTTCACAACAAAAGTATAGTAAAACAAAAATTATGTTTGATTATATGAACAAAACTGCAAATCAAAATTGGACAAACACCAAGCAATTGAATAACAGGAAAACATGTATAAGTAGGTGCCTATCAGGATCTTATATTTTCATGTTTTTAAAGTATGATACTTAATATCAGCCAGATACTGCTTTGCCAAAATCCAGAAAAAAAACACCAAAAAAAATTATATACAGTGCCAATCTAGCATAGGATGGTTTGTGTCTTGCAACTTCTGTAAGTTTATTGATAATGTATATATTGTAACTAATATTAATATAACATACTAATCTCAAACATCTTAATTACTCAATATACTATTAAAAAATCACTTCGATCAAAACAACAAAATAGTTTTATTCTTCCACTTTACAGCTCCCTTCATTATGCCACAATCAAGAAATAAGAGTACAAGAATATTTTTCCATTAAATGATGGTGTATACTATTTCTACATTGTTTGTGATACTGAAATTTCAATGAGTGGATTATTCTAGGTATCCTTATTTGCAGAAATATCTACGAAATTTACAGCCAAATTCAGGCCACTGTCTTTATAGCTGCTGCAGGATATATCTGAAATGTCTTTCTAATATCTACAATCATTTTTTGGTACTTGTATAAACTGCAATCTTCTTTCCTGGGAAAAGAAATAATGATATGGATTGGGAATGACAGATCATCTTCTGCAAAAAAGAATAATATTTCTACAACCAGGAGATAAAAAGAGACATGAACAGACCGGCAAAAAAAGTATAAAGTTAAGTTGAAAATTCATTGAAAAATCTAGCAACTGAACTAGCCTATGCTGATGCAAGAACTATCAGAGCTAAAAGTAGGAGTTATATCTACTAATCAACAGCAGCTGAAGATCTCAATACTTGTAGTGAGATGTGGAATTAAGTAAGCTGAAAGCCCTCTAGAACACACAATAGAAAGCAGAAAATTTCACCATTTCGTTCTTCATCTGAAAGGGATGGTGACAGCGTCCCTTCCGTTCAAACTGTGCCATGAATATGCTATTTACCTTGACTCCATTGTTCTGTTACTGATAACAAATGCCATTCACCTAGTGAAATACAAAGGGTTTTCATCTGAATTTTAGCTAGCAAGGTTCAGTGCCAATTTGAACTCTGGTTTTGTGTCTTGATGTAACAATCTCTTGGATTTGTTTTTTCTTTTTAAATAAAGTAGATTTTTAATTTCCAGTGGGT